ACTTTCTATTATCAGAATAAATCGGTTTCACGGACGAATCCAGGTAGAATCTTGAGTGACACCATAAAAGACCCAGTACCACTGGACTATTAAAGAAATAGTCCTTCGAAGATGCGTTGAGCCTTCGCGCAGCAATGTACTAGCTGTAGAGGAACAGGCTGGTAGCGATGTCTTCATTTATTGAAGGGTCCAATTCACACATCCCGATGCTTCCTAGGGATTGCTTATCAATGCAAATATCACTTCCTTACCTTTACTTTACGGCTGCTGGCTACCAGGAGAGGACAAGCCGGCAAAATCAACGCAATTGTGATTCACCTTTACTTCCATTGGTGAATGCCAGAGACGGAGCGGAGACCAAGGTTAAATACTTTGACTTCCTTTTTTATTCCTTGAATATACACATGTACAGTCAACTTTCAGGAAGGGGGCTGCGGCCATACAAAGGCTGCCTGAGGAAATACAGAAATAGGGAAGACGGGCGGCAGTGGAGCGGCTCGAACCCGGAACTTNTAATTTAGTGACCTAACCACTTGGCCACTACCACCGAGGGTTTTTAGTATCCTTTCGTACAGCGTCAAGCCGGGTTTTCAGCTGTCCACCGTGTCGACAGCTCCAGTTCGGGCAGGGAGGTGGTGCCAAGACAGCTTTGGTTAGGTCGTTATCAGACTTACGAAGAATGTAACCAAACTATTGTGGTTGCCGCCGTTGTATTAACGTCCGTAGCCGTACAAGATTAAAACACCGATTTCTGGCCGCTTCATTTGAGAGCTGATCCCTCCCAGAATGATCCTTAAGCACCAGTGATCGAAGACTTTTAATCGGCGAGTCTTTGACTCTAAGTGGTTAAGTTTCACAGCCGCATAAAAAGACAGGACGGAGAAAACTAGGATTTCTGTTTTGAGGCTGATTTCGTTTCTACGCCAAAAGGAATTTCTCAGCTGTAAAACACCCTTCTTGAAGCATCGAAGCGAACTTGCACCTCACCTTTAGCTTGGCCGTTGGGGAGTATGGCTGAGCTCAAGTATTCGAAGCTTTCGACGGATTCGATCGGCTTGCCGTTTATTAGTAAAGCATTTTCGGGATGAATCGGGACTGTCGCAAAAGTTTTGGACTTTGATGTGTTCACCTCTAGGCTGATCTCGGAGGCCTGTCGACTGATGAGGTCAACGATTACTTGGAGGTACTTGGAGATGCCCTCGCCAAAAACAATAATATCATCCACGAATTCCAAGTCGGTGAGCCATAGGTTCGGAGAGTTCTGAACTCCCTGGTATCCTTCCATCGAACGACCCATTATCCAGTCGACGGCAAAGTTGAACAGCATCATTGGGGACAATCGGCACCCCTATCGCATTCCAGATACTAACTCGAACGCGCATGACTCGGTTGGTGCGGATTCGTGCGCTAGCGTTAGAATAGTAGGATCTCATTAAGTTGACGAGTTGACCTGGGGCACCATCGGCCAGAACTATGTTCCAGAAGGATTCGCGATCTACGGAGTCGAATGTCACACGAAAATCAATGAAGCAGACAGCTGTGGGTTGTTGAAACTTGTGGCGATGTTTCAAGAGTCAACGCAGAGTGAATATTTGGTCGACGCAGCCCACACCGGGGCGGAATCCCTTCCGGTCACGAATGCGTGCGTGCCTTGTTGCAGCAAAGCGGCTCAGCAAAAGTTGTACGAAAACCTTAGCCGCCACATCAAGTAAACCGATGCCTCTGTAGTTTTTGCACACTGGTTTGTCACCTTTTTTAGGGAAAGGTAGTAAAATCGATGTGGTTCAGTCAGTTGGGCAAATTTCGGTTTCCCGGATTGCACACAGTATGCTATGAAGAGGGTTTAACATGGCTGAAGAACACCGCTTAAATTTCGGCAGGTATCCCGTCCTCACCGGGAGATTTCCGTGGCTTGAGATGTTTTATGATATCCGAGACTTCTACTGATGGCGGAGCGCAGTTAGCTTCTTATGGGGAAAATGGCTATGAGGACGCATAAGGAAGCTGGATTTGAGGGCGACTGAGAAGACTAAAGTGTTTCACCCACCGAGACATTTTTTCCTTGCGCATCAGAAATAAGCTCGCTGGAGAGGCTGCGCAACACAGAACTATTTCTTTCCCGATGCTGATCGAATCAGTCGGAATAGTGTCGCCCTGTTGCCCAGGTTCGCTGCTGTCTCAACTTTTGTAGCTATTTCATTCCAGTAGTTGCATCTATCGTTTCTGGCTGATCGTGTTGCTTGTCGTCTGAGGTCACGATAAGCAGAGGATTGAGCTAGACGGGCTTCTCTGGCTGCATTAGCAAAATGGATGGTGTGGCTGGCTATCCAGTCCTTCAGACCACGTGATCTAGTGCCTAGCGCGTGTGGAACAGCGTGTTGTACCGATGACTTCATCCTGGTCCACTGAGTT